CTTCCTCTCCAGTACCATGCTGTCAAATCAGAAAACAAACCAAGCATGATATTTCAACTTTCGTCATGGTTAGAGAATACAGTGGCCAATTAATATACTGAGGTCTCCCCATAATTATCACATAGGAGCAGTGCTAGAAGGGCACAAGTTTAAGAATTACTCTATTACAGCTTCAAAAAATGGATCTTGGTACTCTATTAAAAGGCAAAGATTTTAATTTAATATTTTTCAAAAAACGGATTAAGAATTGGTCATAAAATAAAACAGGGCTCTTTGGGTTATCTGCGATGTATACTGTATGTTCAAATTTTTCATACAACTCCTAGACGAAAACTATAACTGTATTTTCTATGTGTCCTAACTTTAAAATATGGAGATACGTTTAATCTGTTTTCCATGCTGATTCCTTCATTCAATCAAGTTTTACATTTTGATGTCAGTTCAGTGGATAATAAAGGAGGTAACTTTAAAACACTTACTTTACAAAACTTCAAGAATCATGTTAAATTAACATTTTTAATTATGCAAACAGAAACTAATAAAAGCTTTCAGATTTTTCAACATCTTTTGTCAAACTCATTAACAAGCCAAGAGAAAAAGGAGTGATGACTGATCTTCATACACATCCCTTTGCTAGTTTGCTATGGGTGTTCCAGTGCTGGTGCTCACACTTTTATCTTCTTACATTCCTCTGGGCACAGTCCAAAGCCCTGATAGTCAATGCTGTCTTTGAAGCTTTATGATTTGTTTTTTTGTTTTTTTGTCACGCTTGGGCTTAGTATTTCTGCCAGGAAGTGGTTGACTATACCTGTCATAGCCAAGTAGTTAAAGATTAATAAGTTGAGGAATGAAACTTGGCTTGTTATAGTTTAACCTACAACAGTGGTGGCAAACCTATGGTATGTGTGCCAGAGATGGCACTCAGAGCCCTCTCTGTTGGCACGCACGCCGACGCCAGCAGCAGGAGCCCCACCCAGCATAAAGGAGGCAAAGCGGCCGACTAGCAAGCTCGAGTAGAGGTGGTAGAGCAGAGGTCACCAACCATTGTCGATTGGCGGACTGGAAGAAAAGGGAGGGGGAAGCATTTTACATGCATGCGTGCGTGCACAGGGCCGCGAGCATGCATATGCTGCAAATGGGGTGGGGCTAGTGCCTGCATGATACTCACTAGCCCTGTCCCATTCTTGAGTGGTGCAGCGCCTTGTATCTGCCCTCCGCGGCGCGACAGAGGCCGTTTTTTGCACCTTGCAGCACGGTGACCCATTTTTGCACCCCTGGCTTTTGTGTCCCAGAGGCGGCACACTTCTCAGACTGAAGTGTGTAGTGGGGTGCCCCAGGGCTCTGTTCTAGGCCCAGTGCTCTTCAACATCCTCATCAATGATTTGGATGAGAGGATAGATGAGGAACTCATCAAATTTGCGGATGACACCAAGCTGGCAGGAATAGCCAACACTCCAGAAGACAGGCTTAAGATACAGGAGGACCTGGACAGACTTGAACACTGGGCGCTATCTAACAAAATGAAATTCAATGGTGAAAAAAGTAAGGTTCTACATTTAGGCAAGAAAAACCAAATGTACAGGTATAGTATAGGGGGTACCNGCGGTGAATGCTCCAACACTGGAAGTTTTTAAGAAGAGACTGGACAGCCATTTGTCTGAAATGGTGTAGGGTTCCTGCCTGAGCAGGCGGTTGGACTCGATGACCTCCAAGGTCCCTTCCAACTTTATTATTATTATTATTATTATTATTATTATTATTATTATTATTATTATTATTATTATTATTATTATTATTATTAAGAGATATGAGATATGCAGAGATATGAGATATGATCTGACAGCCCATCAATCTAACTTAATCAAGTTCTAACTTTCATTTACTATTTTGTTTAAAAAAAAATTCCTCACCCATCTAATTTCAGTGCAAATTATATTAAGATTTCCAAGAAGCTCTCTTAATCAAGCATGCTTTCTGGAGCCAGCTGAATAGTCTTAGTGACCTGAGGAGAAGTAATTCAATGGCTTTGAAGTAGATTTTCACTTTCCAATCTCATCCACCAGCATTTTCTCAACTACTGAAGCTTTGATACACCCTTCCCTCTGGCTGACGCCAGAAACAAAGCATCAGCATCAGCATTTTGTTTTAGTTCAGCTATGGTTCTGCTGATAACTGTGGTAGTTTGTAACACTGAAAGAAAAGATGACTGGTAATATAGACAGAAAAAGAAGTCTTTTGAAAACCTGTCCTTTATACAGTATATACCAGTGGTGGCATGCGTGCCACAGGTGGCACGCAGAGCCCTCTCTGTGAGCACGCGCTCTGTCGCCCCAGTCCTAGGCCTTCAGCTAGGTTTTATAAAAGCTTTTCGCTTTAGGCCTCCACCGCCGTGTGCAAAAAAAAAAAAAGGTTCAATCAATCAATCAATTTCAACTTCTCGCAGGGAAAAAAAAAGATCTCGCAAAGATGGAATTGATTGATTGAACTTTTTAGTCCCACCCAGTCTGCCGTTACCACCGCAGCCACGCCCACCCAATGGGCCACGCCCACCCAATGGGCCGCACTCACTCAATGGGCCACGCCCACCCGGCATCCTACGATACATAAGTGGGTTTTGGGTTGCAGTTTGGGCACGCGGTCTCTAAAAGGTTCGCCATCACTGGTATATACCAATCAGCATTCCTTTTTGAATTAAAAGAAGGCAAAAGAAAATTGCAGAGTAAAGAGATACCTTGATTGGTGACCCCAATCAAAGTATCCACATCTACTCCTTTCCACAGCCATTCAAAGTATATTATATAAAGGAGAAACCAGTTATTTACAGCATCTATAGTAGATATATATTGAGCAAACTGTTTATTTTCTGTATGTTGGAAGACTCATGAACTCAAAACTAATTTTTAAAAATGGGTTGATTTTTGTAAAAAGTAGAAGAGAAAAATAGTTATGTTGAAGATGTCAACTCAACTTTTAGCCAGATACTGGCGACTGAAATTAAGATAGGCGAAAACAAACACAAATAACAAGTGGGGCCCATTCAGCTACAGCTTTGATGGCTCTGTAGGCAGAGCTGCATCTGACAGAGAAGAGAACTTCGCAGCTCTGCCTACACAGCCACCAAAGCAGCAGGTGGAGCACCAGAGGCTTGGGGAGGGAGGCCACTGAAGTGGGCAGTCGGGCCATTGGCAAGAGCAATGTCTGAGTGGAAAGCGGCCTTGGAACAAGTGGGGCAGGTAAGGAAAGAAATCCTCGCTCCCCCTAGAAATTGCCTTTCTTTCCTTACCTGATTTCCAGCCCCGTGCCGTTTCTCCTTCACAATCTGCCGCTGCCATCACGTGCAAGGAAACGAAGGGTTTTTTGGGGAAAAAAAGATCAATCAATCAATTCCAACTTCGTGATCTTTCACTTGTTTCACTGCCCCACTTGTTCCGAGGCCGTTTTCCGTTCAGACGCGTTGCTCTTGCCAATGGCCTGACTGCCCACTTCAGCGCCCTCCCTCCCCGAGCCTCTGGTGCTTCACCTGCTGTTTTGGTCAGCCTGCCGGCCCTCACCTCAACACTCTGCCCATTGCTGCCCAGCATGGCCACCCCGGGGCTGCAGGGGCTGGCTTGGCATGGGAAGGGCACGTGCCCCACCCTCCCGCCATCATGCAGAGTAAGGTTGCCACGCCAGCACCCATCCAGATGCCCTCACCTACCCCAAGCGTTTTTTTTACTAATCTGCCTTTCAGCTGAATTCCGTTTCTCCATTCACTTCTCAGCTTTGCCACGTTTGTGGGACTATCAGTAAAAAAAAAAGTTCCATCAGACTTTCTAACTTCTTGAGATCTCACGAGAAGTTAGAAAGTCTGATAGAACTTTTTTTTTTTTTACCAATAGTCCCACAAACACGCAGCGAAAGCTGAGAAGCGAACGGAGAAATGGAATGCAGCTGAAAGGCAGGTTAGTAAAAAAACGCTTGGGGAGGTGGGGGTGGGCGCGGCAATCTTACCCTGTGTAAGTATTGATGCAGGTTGCTCATGGACGGGACTGAAGGCCTAGGACTGGGGCAACAGCGCGCGTGCCCACAGAGAGGGCTCTGCGTGCTGCCTGTGGCACGTGTGCCATAGGTTTGCCACCACGGTAATATACTACAAGTAAATCTCCCTAATTTTATTCAGCCAGTTTTTATAAAGCTACTTTTATTCAAAAGATACTGTATATTAGAACATCTCAAATTTGGCTTCTAGCAATTATTTCAGAAGGCAAACACATGTAAGAATTAAGCAGAACAGCACATGTAGGATTTGAGATTAAATCCCTGTTTAGGATG